TACTTATCATACCAGAAACGCGATGGTTTTGAGAAATCTGTCATTATGGTGAACACCATTTTTTACTGAGCTAGCTCTTGACTTAGCATTAAAAAACCTACAAGTAGCGCTCATGGTTCTACACTGAAGTATTTGCTTTTTAAAAGTTTGGAAAAAACTGCAGAGGAAATTACTATGTTGGAAATAATTATTAAATTAATTGATTATTATTATATATTTAGAAATTAGTAACATCTTATTAACAAATGTGATTAAGTTTCTTTCTTCATCATAAAGGATTTTAATCGCTCAGCCGCGGCAAAACCCGATCTTTAACATGAAGTGTTGAAAATTTTATTGATGCGAGTTCCAAAATCGGATTTCCATATGAAGTTTCTTCAAAATATACGCATAGTCTGTAGGTAATCATAGCATCTTTTCGGATCTATGCAATGGTTCGTTCGTCAGGGAGAAACCTTAGATGATTAATGCTGTTAAAAAAAGTAGTTCAAAGGAGCCTCATACAAAAATGAAAATTGATATTGCTTGTTCGCGTTTTCATAGTCGCAAAATTTGCTGATTTTTAGCTGTGTTCCGGGAAAAGAGGAAGAATGTCGGTCAGGAAACTTGCAGAATCCTAACACAACGACCACATACACAAATACATGCTATATGCCGTTAAGGACAGATCTGCTCTACGTGGTGCATGTTGCCGCGTGGATGTCGCTGGTGGCTAGTGTAGCACAGGTAAATTTCAAAAAAATTAAGAATGAAATTAAAAGGGAACAGAAATTATATCCTTCAATATTTTAAACATTCTGCAGTTATAATTGACCCCCTATTTGATGTTTTCAGCTTATTCCTGCCATTCTAAGCTCCTGGTATGCAAGGCTGATCAAGAAGTGATTAAAGTTCTAGTAATTTACTGTTATATTCCGAGTGCAATTCGTGTTCAATCACAGTACTGGATCCTGTGCCCTGTATATATGTTTGAATGTTGTGACTATGATTTTACTTTGAAATGTTTTGATCTGAACTCTTTTTCCGACTTCCATCACTTGTCGCCTAATAAATTTTAGATGAATAAACTGAGATAAGTGAGAGTAGATAAAGAGCTGAGAAGTATTATATCTATT